GTTCTTTTGGGAAAAAATTCATATAAAAGCCAGAATGTTTGCCCCGCCCCCCCTCCCCCCCCCCCCCCCCCGTCGACTAAGAATTTTCTAAGGTTTCTTTCTCCAAAAACTAAGACCGGCCCCCGACCAGAAAAAGGAACATCTATGTGGCCCTCGCAGGAAAAAGTTTGGGGACCCCTGATCTATTTATTCTTAACATCCCAGTTGTTCTGTGTTTCTGTGAGAGGCGCTGTTTTTTGTAAATGTCGTGCATTAAATTCTGATTCTGAAAGTGAAGTTGGTCCTCTCTATGCACTATGGACACACACCTTTCTATCTTCATAAGGACTTTGCATTGACTCAACTCACACCTCAGTCCTAATCCTGACCTCTGACCCTAGAACAGTAGCTCTCCTTATGGGTCCCAGGCTTTGGGGCCCATAAGGAGCAGTGGGTCCTCACAACAGAAAAATGGGTCTTACAACGTGAGAAAAACCAAAACACAGACACACACTTTAGCAGAAGTATAACAGCTGTGTGTATATTTTGGTGCAGTAATGACATCATGAGTGGAAAAACTGATGTCATTACTGAACAACAAAATGGCTGAGTGTGTACTGGCCCATAGTGCATAGAGAGAACCAACTTCACCACCTCCACCCACAAGTTGAGGTTCTTGTGGACAGTGAGGACATTTTTCTGAACTGGGGGTTGGGGGCAGTTAGATTACTGAGTTACTGAGGTTCAACTGTTCCTGGTGGTCACACAGTTACCTGGGCAGCTGAGCGCCTCCTTGGCTGTGATGCTCTTGTTGCAGGAGGAGCAGAGCGTAGTGGCCGATACGCTGAGCGAGGTGAACAGGTGGCCGCTGCTGGAGCGCGCCTCCCGCTCTCTTGTCTCCTTCAGCCGCTCCTTCTCCTTGATCTGGACAGGAAACCAATTAAACCATTGGAACCATTGGAACCAGTAGAAGTAGTGAAACCAGTAGAACTACAGAAACATTTGGAACCAGTGGAACCAATAAAACCAAGGGAATCAGTAGAACTAGTGAAACCAGTGGAACCAGGAAACCAATTAAGCTACTGGAACCAGTGGAACAACTGGAACCAGTGATACTATTAAAACCATTGAAACCAGTGAAACCAGTAAAACCAGTGATACTATTAAAACCATTGGAACCAGTGAAACCAGTAGAACCAGTTCACCAGGTGAACTGTAGGTGAGGGAAGAAAGCAGAGGGTGGGACAAATACCTAGAGACTAGGGGGGTGAAGGCTGGAAACACCTGAGCTCTCACTGTTCAGTGTTTTGTTCTGAGGGAAACCGGGTCAGAGCGGTACCAAACTGGATCAGAACTGGGTCAGAGCGCTGTCACTGTATCGCTATGGGAACTTCTGCTTTCCTCTGTTCTGTTTCTCTCAACAGGAAGAGGAACAGGAAGTCCATCTTTATTCATCAGAACCGGCCACAGGATTACATCAGAGATGTGTAAAGGCGCCGAGTCCAGACAGCAGCCCAGGTCCTGGTTCTGGTTGTAACCTTTGTGTTCAGATGGGGGGGTCCTTAAACTGGCACCGCCCACCTGCATGCATCATTAACCCTCTCTAATCCTCAGCTGGATTCAAAACTCCCAGGATGCATTTCACCAACAGCACCCCAAATGGCTGGAAGAAAACGGTTCTGTTCTGGTGAGCTGTTCAGACTGGCTCTGACTTTGTTAAACTGGTTCTAACTGGTTCTGACCGAGTCAGACTGGGTTAAGCTGGGTCCATATGGATCATACCGGTTCTGTTGGAACCGGCTCAGGGCAGAAGCGGCGCTCAGTGACAGTCAGTGATCAGCTGATGGATAAATAAAGAGTTCAGTGATGAAGAGGAAGAAAGGGAGCTCTGTTGGAGAGAGGGGGAGGGAGGGCGAGCAAGTTGGGTTAGGGCAGAGAGAGAGTCAGGAGGAGCCAGGTGGTTCCAGGTCATGTGACCGCTGAAGTCTGCAAGGTGATAAAGTTCTGGAATCCTCTAGTTCAGGTATTGCGGTAACAGCCAATCACATCCCTAGTGCTCCCAGCCAGCAGAGGGAGCCAGCGAGCCGCAGATTAACGCAGCACAATGAGACACGAGCAAGACACAGCGAGACGCAGCATGACGAAACGCATAGTGACGAGACGCAGAGCAACCAGCAACTCTGGTCGTGATGCTGCAGCCCCAGCAGCAGAGCTAACACTGTTAGCATGTTGCTGAAGCACCCAGCAACCATCTTCTTCTCCCACCACGAACCTGATGTTTGACCTTTGACCCTGAAATCTCCAACTAACTCCACTTAAGATGAGATAGTTGTTCCAATGCCATGGATACCAGATCCACCAGATCTCACAGCGCCCCCACAGGCACAGAGGTGAACAGATGCTCAGAGGGTTGGGTTGGTTTGACTCAGAAAGAGAAAAGCAGCAACAGCAACAAATGTTGCTGTTTTGGTTCCAATCAAACAGCTGAGACTGGAGCAACCTGCAGCTCCAGGTGAGTCAACCTGCAGGTTTCATCAGCAGAGCCACTTCAGATCAGCTCTGCTGCTTTCATTAAGTGGCTGAGATTATTGATCATAAATCGATCATAAATCCTTCGTACGGCTGTCTTATCACCAAGCTTCGATCAATATTTGAGCAGTGGAGTGAGTGGGCACACAGGGCTGCTGCAGCCTGCAGGTAACCATGGCAACGGCCAGGATGCTTCAGCGAGGCGTAGGCGTGAGAACACCCGCTCTGCCTCATCTTCACTGGGATGAAGAACACTAAGCGCTGCTTCAGCGACCAATCAGAACTCAGCTCAGATTCTTCTGAAAGATTTTGGACTAAAAACTAAAAACTCCCACTGTCCTTGAAGCAGCATTCCCAGTTAAACCAGTGACCACGTCCCCACCACCATGACACCTCCACCGTGCTTCACAGCTCAGCCGCACCAACCCGACCCAGAAGAAGAGCAACGGTTCTGATCACAAACATGGAACCTCTGAAGAACCCTCAAAGAATTCTTCAGAGGTTCTGGGACCTCCGTTCTGCTGATCAGAACCGGTCCTGGTTCTGGAACTGATCGGATTTTCCTTCAGGTTGTTTGGGTTTGTGGGTCAGAGGTCAGACCTTCCCATCTCTTCCTGTATGAGACACTGCCACGCGCGCGCCCCAACACACGCGGCGCGCGCATCCTCCCCTCCCCCCCACCCCGCTTCCTCCTGCAGGACAAAGCGGCCACGCTGCCTCCTTTAAAAAGTCCGAACTCACCGAACTGCTTCGGTACCGGCCCACGCTTCTCGCACACGCTGTGACCCACGCAAGCACGCACCCTGTTCACGCGCAGTAGAAGAAACGCGCGTGCTCGTTTGAGTTAGCGGAAAGAAAAAAAAAAATCTGTTTCCCGTTTCTGATCTCCGAACTTTCCTGCTGCGTTTCCCTTTAAACTGGACCTAGAACCGGGCCCTGACTCGAACCCTGGCCCGCTCACTAAGTCATTCCGCCGACGTAACGAAACCAGCGGTTCGGTCCGTGTTTTCCAGATGTACCCGGTCAGATCCGAGCGGAACCAGGCAGACTCGGACCGGGACCAGGAACCGGTCTGCTCGGTTCGGTTCGACCCATAATAAAGAGTGTATAATTAAAGTGTGGGTGGTCGCGCGCGGCGGGGTTCGGCGGGTTCCGGGGTTGCGACTCACCTTCAGGCTGCTCTCCTTCATCCGGTCCTTCTCCCTCCGGCTCTCCAGCAGCCGGGACATCGAGCCGCAAATCGGTTCCGATTGGTTCCGATGATCCGGGTCAGTCTCTCTCACTCTAAGCCACAAAGTCCGGAGGTTCTGGTCCCGGTCCGGAGCGCTCCGCCGTCTGTGTAGGGGGCGGGGCTTGAGTCTGATAGACAGATCTTCTCTGTACTTCTGACCAATCAGAGCGCAGCCCGCTGCCGCCGCATTCGGCTAATCCCGTCCCTGCTCGTAGCTTAGGCCCCGCCTACCGACACATCTAGGAGAGCACTCGTTTCTGGAGCTGGAGCAGCGCAGTCGACGTTTTGGGTGGGGTTAGTCTCTATGACAACGTGTCACTAAGTCACATGACCCACACCAGCCAGTCAGAGCGTCACTAGAAGTCACGTGACTGATGATCAAACGGTCTCCGCTCCGGATCGATTAGCTCCGCCCTCCGGCAGAGGCATGGACAACAGACAACCGAGTGACGTGGAAGTGAAGGATCCGACCCCGCCCGCCCCGAAGCGCAGCGAGCAGCGCCGGTGAACGACCCGAACCTCCACCGGCTCCGCTCAGACACAAAGAAATGACGGAGCTGCAGCGTAACCACGAGATAAACAATAACTGATCACCGCAGATCTGGATCAATGACGGCCACTGCCGCTGTCACCATGACAACCCGCCATCACACAAAACGCACAGGAGACGCCGCCTTCCGGCAGCAACGCGAACTGCGGTTCAACTTTATGATTAACTTTTTATTTTGGATATTTACAAAATTTTACATACATTCATTGAAAACATAAATAATATGCAAAGCATGAAAAATAATGATATACAACAGAAATTAGTTGGAACAAATATACAAAAATACTTTATTGATTCCAAAGGGAAATTAAATTAAATTAAATTTTAACAACCCACTTTGTAAAATTGTTGGATTTCAACACAGCGCCCCCTCCCGTCAGAAAGATCAGTATTAGCAGATGTATTTCCATCACTTGACTGTTTCCATTCAGTTATAGTCGACTTTCATAGCTGGATATCTTGGATAAGAATACCTAGAGACAGGTGAAATTTCCTGTTAATTTCTCTGGCTGCTTTTCCACAGGTCGTCCCATAATTCATCATCTATCAACAGATTTGACTCATGTCTTTATTACAATATTCTCTTATACAACAAAATGAGGAAGACTCTGATTCACTGCTTTACCTCCGCAGGTGAGCCTCCTGTGTTCTACCTGAACCAATCAGACGCTCACAAAGCCATGACATCACCATTTGAGCTGACCCAGATGGCTTAAAGGCGCCCAAACCTTAGCATATGTAACCGACTGGTGTAGAACTATGTAGTGTAGAACCGGGTGGTGTAGAACTGGGTGGTGTAGAATTGGGTGGGGTAGAACTGAGTTCTGTAGAACCGGATGGTGTCTCCATCTCCCTGGTTTTATTCAGAACTCCATCAGCAGCGTTCTGGACCATTGATGATGTGAAGTCAGTGCTGCAAGAATCCATCCACCCATTCATTTTCTGAACACCCTTGTCCCTCAGTGGGGTCGGGAGGGGTGCTGGTGCCTATCTCCAGCTAACGTTCCGGGCGAGAGGCGGGGTACATCCTGGACAGGTCGCCAGTCTGTCGCAGGGCAACACAGACACACAACCATGCGCGCACACACACACACACACACCCAGAACCTTCTTGCTGCACGGCAACAGCTCTACCAACTGCGCCACTGTGCAGCCCCTGCAAGAATCAAGGCCAAAATAAAATAAATAAAAAATAAATAATTAAATAAAGTTATTCTGGTTCATTGTCAGTGAGAATTAAAATTCTCTATCTCATATTTCTCAGCAGAACTCCTCCGATTCCGGTCCGCTGATTCCGCCTCCTGGTTCTACTTCCGGTTCCAAAGTTGCCTTATCTGCCGGCCGAATTTTAATTTTGTGATGCGTTCCCTTTAAAAGGACCTCCCCTTTAATTCACCTGTCTTGACCTCACCTGGGTTGAACTTCCGCAAAGTATCACAACAACAGAAGAAGAAGAGGCCGAGTCCAGAACCAGACCCGTCGAGCCAGAACCGGACCAGAACCAAGGTCAGACCCTTCAGTTTTTTTTCTCCGTCAGCGGGTTCGGTATTCGTCCGTGACGTAGGTAGTTCCAGGTGGACCTGAACCACAGTGACGTCAAACTGCAAACATGCTTCCTGTTTATGTGGACTCGGGTGGTTCCGGAGGTCCAAAAGGTTCTGTTTGTTTTTGATGAAATATTCAGAGAAAAAAAAAAACCCAGTTGGATCCCGTTGATCCGGATCCAGTGAAACCCACTGCTGGCAGATGTGATCAATCATTCTGGTACCGACTGGTTCTGGACTGGTTCTGGAGGGTCTAACCAGTTAATTCCCTCCATTCAGCAGCAGGTTGGAGGTTCCTCAGATCAGAGACCGTGAATGTTCTGTTGGGTTTTATCTAAAATAAACACATTTATCCAACTGGAAGATCATCAGAGCTTTAAACCAACATTAGAGAATACAGACAGTGACGTTAGTGACGTGTTACAAATTAACGCGTTAGAAAGGGTTACAAATAACAAAGTAGCGATTACTCGTTACTTTTTTCAGTAATGAGTAATCGCTTTGCTATTTAAAATCCAGTAATCAGATTACAGTTACTTATCGAAATCACTTTGCGTTACTATTTTCTTTTGTAATTTAATTTTATTTCCTCTACGTGTCGAGTGACCCATCAGAGCGACAGCAACATGAGCAATGCGCAGTTTGTTGCTGGAAAAACAGGAACTATTTTGAGTTTCTGTTCAAACTCAAAAAATATAACAGTCCTGTTACTATGAGCGGCCTGTTTTTTCTGACGCGGGTTGCGCTTTTTTGGACTCGTTTTTGAACGTGAAGTTACTCATTTGGGTTTTGAAATAAGCCCCAGAATTTGACTGACAACCGTTTACTTTTAGTCAGGCCTTCCAGGTCCATCATTTCCCGGATGATCCGTCCCGCTGTGTCTTTAATATGAAGTTAAAATGTTTGCTGTGAATGACGTCGAGCTTCGCGTTGCGCTCCAGAAAACTACAAACATCAAGACTAATATGAACAACACAATAAACGTGAAAACAGCCATAAATGAACGAGTCCTAAAGTTGTGCAACTAAACGCCGTTATTATCATTAACATTAAGATAAGTGTCACAAATCTGTACAGCCATCTGAGTTGTGAAGCCGCAGGAGTATGGGGGAATTTTTCTGCCATAATCCAAGAGCACACATATGCAGTCTGAAAGCAGGATTTCTTGTCTTTTGTTCTCAAAACTTTTAATACTTTTGCTTACATTTTTATATTGAAAGCAGAATTTCTGTCTGTCTTCTCAAAACTTGTAACGCTTGTTCTCAAAACTTCTCCAGTCTCTGCTCTGACTCTGCTCGCTTACGAAACATGGAACTGCCTTTTGGCAGAGTCGCCTAGCAACCTCTCAGCCAATAGAATGAAAGTGTTGTGCTAGGTGCGTTTGTTTCCTTCTAGCGGGTGAGCCTATGTGGCTGCTATCCAATGTAGGCGCAATGACGTATCAGCGCATTTCATTAATCATAACTCGCTAAATATTAAACATATTTTCAGGATTATTCAAACCGCTATCATAGCTACTTTTACAAGGAAATTTATGTTTTTAAGTATTTTTGAATTGGATTGATACATGGTTCAGCATATTTAAATATTCTTAGTGGGGAAAACAATTGATTCAGAATAGAATATTTAGATATTGATGTATGATGAGTATTTTACAAAGCAAAAAACTAGTCATAATATTTAAAATATATTATGTAGTAATATATATAAATGTATTATTTAGTAATATCTATCTCTATATATATACTCTGACAGCAAACACAGGGCTGTAACGCAGAACCTGGAGTTTGGGGCAGGGAGGGGGGGCTCTAAAATCCTACTTAGAGTTTTCCAGAGAATAGTGCAACACACAAAAACACACAAAAATTACTTAATTTTTTTTTGTGCTGTTGTAACCATCAAACAATCTCCAATTCAGTTCAATGTTATAAGTGGAGTCACACTGTTAAAGTTACTATTATTAAATAACTTGCAATATTATGATAATATTATGATGATGTGTGGATCTTATCCTGTGTGGCTCGCCATCACACTAAGAATAATCCATAAATGAGTGCAGAAAAAGCAAATTCAAAAGTGTTAAATGTTTTGGTGTTAGAGACTCTGTCCAAAAGCAGAGTTAATTTTACTCTAATAGAGTCACATTCTGTTTATGCAACTCTGGAGTGTATATTACTGGTAGTTAAAATCAAGTGTTAAAACAAAGTGTTCCCGTATCAAATCTGAAGGTCATATAATGGAATCAATAACTCCTGACTTCCTAACTCTGAACTCTTACAGCAGCTATAACACTTGAGAGACTCAATTAACCATCGCTTCAAAAACACGTCTCTACCTGCTCTTAGATATTTCAGGCAAGACACAAAAATTAGGCACAAACCAGAATGTAAAATCACTAACAAGACAACCGTAACCCCATACATTTCTCATCCTTCATACTTTTATCTCTCATCCTCGCACCCCAAGACATTGCAAACCTCACCAGTTATTCCCATTCACACAGACTATATCTGTCAAATCTTCTCCTGCATAAAACGCTCCGCTCTTGGCTGCTAATCATTTAAGGAGTAATGTTTTCCTTTACATACTAGATGTTACACCTTTCCACCAGACACTTCTGCTTCTTGGTACATTCTGTACGGCTACATCCTGTTCTAGCATAATTTGTGCTCCTTATCTAACTGTTGCAGGCAAACAAGGTTATTCATCTTATCCTTAGCTGAAACATTTCAAACTGAGAATGCATAATTTAGCAATATGAAGCATCATACTTGATATTCAAAAGGTGTGATTACAATATTCAAAATATGCAAAACTCACACAAAAACGAATATATTTGATTATTACATTTTTATTTCTCCACATACTAAAGGAGTTAATTGACTGACTCCGCCCCCATAGTCACAGGTTTCCACCAAGTCAAGTTATTTCAGAACTATTTTCTTTCCACATGTCTGAGTTGTTCACTACGCTTTGTAAGTATGTTTTTTCTGAGATGGTTTATATTACTATTATTTTGAGTTTAGGCCAACCTGTATGGTAGACATGGCTCGATGTAGGGTTAGCCTATCCCTACCCTAAGTTCAAAACAGTAAATACCTATTTAATATTGATTACAAATAACTCTTATGAAGTTTAAAAAAATACTCTGGGAGAGTTGATATTAAGCTCTAACACCGAGTTAGTGTTGCTTAGTGTTAAATGACTAACTCCAGCAGAATTGGTATTTGACACTTAATTTGAGTTAGGGTACCAGCTCTCCAAAAAGAGTTAAATTAACACTGTCTGGTGTGGATCCATATAGACACTTTAAAAATGTTGAAAACAAATCTGACAAATTTGGGCCTCCTGGATTTTCTAGAAATCAGTTTCTTCTCCATCCCATAAATTAATCTGAGCACCGGATTCTACTGGCTATGGAACTAGTTTAAGATATTTAACCAGAAATATTTCATATTTAATCACATTTTGATACCTACAAAATCAACAAGATTTTTAATTTAAAAACCATCTTTGCAGCAAAATTATTTAATAAATATCCATCAGTTGAGCAGCAGAGATATCTCTAGATTTTAATCTTCAGGTTCTTCATC